TAAAAAATTCTCCTCTACTCCTTCTCCTTGTTCTATTTTTCTCCCTCTGCCCAGAGAAGTCGTCCTCCTTGCACAGTCGTCATTGTCATCTATAATCCATGCTGTGGAGTCTCGTTGTCTGCCTTCAGTGGTCATCTACCATCGGTGCTCGTCTATCATTGTTGTCATCTACAGCCCATGGTCGGAGGTTGTAGTTGTGGTTGGCGCTTGGGTGGGGCTTGTTGCAGACGACGAATAGAAAAAGGGATGTGAGTTAGAACGAATAGAAAGAGGGAGGGTTGCGAATGAAAAGAATGAAGAAGAAAAAGGGAGTTTGCAGAATGGAGAAGACAAGGAGTTTGTGTCGCTCAATGTGTATTGGGGGGGATAGGGACTATCTATTTGAAAAATAAATGAGGGCATTATGGGAAAGTCAAAATTTCATTAAAACCACCAGTTAGATTTTTTTTAAAAGCAGCTTTAAAAGCTGGGTTGTTCCCGCTTTGAAAAAACAGCGATCATTGACCGCAATTTTTTTTAAAAGCTGCTTCTTGATGTTTACCAAACGCCATAGTGTTGCAGAATTTTTATTAAAGTCGTTTTTTTTTTTAAATTTAAGCAATACCAAACGCTACCTAAGGCTCCAAGATTAGAGTCCTCTACCTCACCACACCAAATGCTCCTAGAGATGAAGAGAAGGCAATCAAGAAGTATGGATGCTAGTCTACTTTTTGATTGGACCAATTTTTGGTTTATGGAAGATGAGATACAAATATGACCACTCATCAACCAAAGTAGGAAACCAAAAATCCTAGCTAGGTTTTCTCCAACACTTAGCTTATATAGGACAACACAAAAGACAATTGGGTGGGTATTTGGGGCTCCATTTGGTCCGTGAGTCATGTCATCTTATGTCACTTATTCCTTGGGCCCAATAGCCTTTTGGGCTATTTTGTCCATAATTAATCTTTTAATTATAATTTAACTATTAAATTATAATTATAGTCTTACTTAATTGACTTGGTCAAACTATTTGACTTTGGTCAATTGCTCGAGTCAACATGTTGAATTTTTACCATTGACTTTGACATTTGATTATCAACTATTGACTTGTGTCTCCTCATTTCATTTCTTCTCATTTGTACCTCTAATCACATTCTTTGGGTGTACAGATTTGTATGTTCCCTTTAGCAAGGTAGTGGGTTGACTCAACTCATCAGAGATCATATACGAATTAAATTCCACAATTTAATTCTTCATACTAACAAAGGTTAATTGAAACCTTTTAGGACATCCACAAACCATAGTTGTCAGCAACAAGTAACGATTATCCTAGCTAAATGAGACGTTGTGAAAAAACCTATTCAAATTGGAATGACCGTGCAATTGAATCCTTCTCTTAAGTCAATACTCCTTATTCACATTATTAGATCATGGAATCCGAATGTCAATATTCTAATGTGAATCATTCCATTTATATGATTATCCTGGTAAGATTTGAAGACTTCTTCTTTCAAGTCTTATCCACTACTCTGAGCAGAGATTTGACCAACCTTTCTTGCCCATTGATAACATAATATCCACTTATGTATTCCTTGGACTATGGTTGTTCTACATATTGAAAGATAATATAGGATGATTTAATGTATAAAACAACCTTTCTTGCCCATTGATAACATAATATATCTTTTATCAAAGATGTCCTTAACTCTAACTATTACATAATTAGTTGGCTTTAAGGTCATATTTCTAACAATATATCACCTTCAATTTTGATAGTTTATCCTTTGCTACATGCCTACTCCAATTATTGGAAGCAAGAAATAGCTAGAGATTAGAAATTCATTTAAGTTTTTGGTTGTATGCATTCAGTTTAAATAAACAGTAATTGAAAAAAGGGGCAAACACATGAAGAATAATTAAAATAAATAAATAAACAGTAATTAGAATGAAGTACAACAACCACATAATTACATAACCTCAAAATACAATCAACCAACCAACCAAATTGAAGCAAATACTTAAATTTCAGGATTCTAACTGTGTAACTACGAAAGAATTCTAACATTACAAATCATGAAGCATGAAACTTAAACTAAATGCATACAACCAAAAACTAATATAATGTGCGCAATGAAATCCAAGTAAGTACAAAGGAAAACATGATTAGACATGCATGAAAACCGAGAGCTGAAATCAGAGCGTTATCAAAGAAAAAAAGGGTGTCTTGCAAGTCATGTTCATGCTTTGAAAAATCAGAAACTAAAGAGAAACCATATGCGGATTCCAAAAAAAAATGCAATTTAGGTAAGCAAAAGCAGAGATGGAGAGAAAAGGAAATTTGTTAATTTGTTTCAGTTTGCTAACAATATCCAGAAGACACACAACTCAATTAATAATATTTCATATGGCAGTTTAACAACTTTGAAAAAAAAAAAATAAATATAATAAAATAAAAAAAAAAAAATAAAAAATAAAAAAAAAAAAAAAAAAAAAAAAAAAACAAAATAAGAGAGCTTGCCACCTTGATTTGTGACATGAAAATAAGAAAGAATCAACATCTTCATAAAGACAGTTAAAAATCCAAAATAGTTGACACTACTAAACGAAGATATATTTCTTTTTCCTAAAAAATCCCAACTTCTGTGGTATAAAAAGAAAAAATTTATTGCACCCTTAATCCTCATATCAGAACAATCATTTGGTAGGCATGATTAGAAACCAAGATTAGAGAGGCCTGAATCACCAGTAAAAGGGCAAACAGTTACAATGTAGCCAAGATTAGGAAACCTCGATTATTAGAAAGAAAAAAAATTGGATACAAGGAAAAGTTAAAACAAATGAAATAGATTCTTAAAAAAGGGAAATGCCAAGCCAACAAAAATTGAACTTAAAATGCATGTTCTAAGTAGTTAGTAGGAAGACCCAAAAAAACCAAACTAATCTGAACTTTCGACTTTAGCAACTAAGATGGAGAAGATTGAAGGATTAAGAGCCGCAACAACTGCACATCTCATATAAAAAATTAGAAAATCAGAAAAGATGAAAACCATTTGGTGAACCAAAAACAAAACCAAAATGAGAGTGAGAGAGAGAGAGAGAGAGAGAGAGAGAGAGAGGAGAGAGAGAGAGAGAGAGAGATTCATACCATTCAAACCCATCAAAGCTAAATGTTTTCTTCATTGGTGCTATGGAGAAAGAACATATATAATCAAAGAAATTCCATTGGGTTCCAAAAATTAGGGATAGTAAGCAGATCAAACCTAAATGCTTTCTTCACTGAACCAAAAAGAGCCAAAATTGAAACAAAAATGCCATTAGGAACCAAAAATTAGAGACAAAGAGAGAGATTCGTACCATTGACATCTTGATGCTTTGCAAAAAGAAGATTCATTGAAGCAAAAAAATTGAAAGGAACTGTTGTGTAATGGCCTGAGGATGTTGGGTCTGTGGGAAATGTTAAAACTGACATGAACTGCAACAGTTTTCAAATGGGAGTGAGAAATCAACGGTGAGTTTTGCTTAAATTTCCATCGTGATATTTGGTTTGACGGTTATCGGTTTTCAACGTGTCTTCAGTTTTTTATCTTTTCTTATATTTTTTCAGTTTTGTTTATTTGCTGCATTTGACTATTTTTCCCCCTTTATATTGGATTTGTTAAGGTTGATTGTTTTTCCCCTATTATCTAATTTTTTATTTTTTTTATTTTTTAATATGAAAAAGTGTGAATTTACCGTGCTATCTTCATTTAATTAATAATTTCAATTCTTAGTGTTTGGATTAACCAAGGGCATTTTTTGGTATTTTGAATGTTTCACCATTCTCTCCCTTTTGATATATATATATATATATAGATAATACATCTATTAAAGTTTTATTGTACCTAGTTTTTCATGGATAATAATTTACCTATTATTTTAAAGAAAAATTAGGTATTAGACATAAGTAACTTTACTAATTAGTATTTGAGACATTGGATATTTTTGTTTGGGTTTTAATACCTAGGAAAGAATTGTTATTTTGGATTAGGCCAAAGAGGAGGCCCAGATTCGTTGGGCCAGCTTAAAATAATAACTAAAAAGACAATTCTACCATTCTTCTTAAAAAGCCTGGCCCAACTTTAAAACTTACAAAGTAAATGACTTTTTTTACCCCTTTTATGTTAAACTACGCGTGATTTGAGCTGTTCTCTTTCATTTTCGTTCGGCTTGACATTTTGAAGCTCTGGTTCATTTAGTTGCGATTAGAGCTTCAATTTTCTAGTAGGTTTTGGTTCGATTTTCTTTATTTTTTTTATTTTGATTATGTTTTGTGTTATTTAGATTGATCTTTATGCTTTGGGAGTAATTTTGCTTTTGCATGCGAAATCAAGGTCAGTTTTGGCTTGTGATTTTTGTGCTGCTATTTCGAGCTCAGTTTTGTTGCGCGATTTTGTATCTTCTTCGTTTTGTGATCAGATTTGATTTTGATCTGCTGTTTAGTTGGGGAGATTTTTTGCAGTCCTAGGTGTAGAGGTATGAGTACTTGAGAACCTTCTTTCGTTTATATCGACTTATATGTTTTCAGAATTTAGTTTTAGTACTTTGATCATGGCTTTTCCTTTTGGTTTATATTCGAAGTTTTTTTATTTTCTGTCATAAACTGCATTGCCGTTTCTGTTAGCTTCTTCATTTGCTAAGCAAGTGTTTACGCACTATGGCTACCATCATTCTAGGATAATGGTGTATAGAGCATGGGCATTGGCAGTTGATATTGTTAAGGGATCTTTCATCAATAATATGAAGCATTGTGGGACTACTACAATGAGTTGAGAAATAGAATTTTGGGAAGCACAATTATAATCAAGTCTTCATTGGAAGGAGAAAGGCCTAGGTTTGAAAGGGTGTTTATATGTCTTGTAGCTTGCAAAAAGGGCTTTTTGGATGGTTGTGGGCCTGTAATTTGTTTGGGTGGAACACATATAAAAGGGCCTCACCCAGGGCAATTGTTATTTGTTATTCGGGTTAATGGGAATAATGACATGTTTCCAATTGCCTACGCTGTTGCCGAGGTTGAGGCCTTCAACACATGGATGTGGTTTTTGGAATTACTTGGTCAAGATCTGAATATAGGCAATAGCCATGGATATGTCTTCATGATTGACAAGCAGAAGGGACTAATAAATGTTGTATCCACTTTATTCCCAAGTGTAGAGCATAGGCACTATTTGAAGCATTTGTATTCAAACTTTAATATTGAGCATAAAGGTCTAGCTCTAAAGTTGCAAATGGAAAATATTGCAAGGAGTACTACAGTTCCCTGGTATGATGTTGAGATGAGGAAGATGTTGGAGCTTTCTACAAAAGCTCATGCTTGGCTTGCAGACCAGTCAATCAAGCCAATTTCACAACATGTTACCACTGCAGAAGGGAGTCAAGCTAGGAAGAGGATGAAAAAAAATGCAAAGAGGAAGCACTTTATCAAAGATCCCTTCTTCCACCCTTGAAGATGATGTTTGAATTGAAATGGTTTTAGGGATGTTTGAATGGATATGTTATTTTAGGATGTGCAAAACTTCATTTGTAAGCCAGTGCATTTTTATTTTTGGGAGATTTGTGATGAATGTTTATGATGAATATTAGTAATGGATTTTGGTTTTGGGATGATTCCATATAAAACTACTTTTTTAAACTACTGCTCGGGTTGAATGGATATGGATTTAAGATTGAAATAAAATGTTTGTATCTTTATATGAAATGAAATGTGTTGTTGGAGATGGATTTTATATGGAATATTTGTATCTTTGTATGACATCAACTTCATTACAAAACATTCTTAACATATTGCATTAGCAAAAAGAAAATCAATGCATCCTTTCAATTCCATTTTATTACATACAACAAGAAGAAGAAGGAAACCAATACAGCTCCAGTCAATATTCTACTCCTTCGAATTTTGCCATTTTCCTCTTCCAATTTATGAATCTTCATCAGCAACCCACGTATCACCACCTTTGAACGTGGGCACATTTCAAGATCATACCATTCCCAAAACTGACGTCCTCTATGTCCTTTTCCCTACATTAACCCACATATACCAAATATCAATTCTTCTTGTCCAGCAAATCACCCACAACCGTGGCATTTTATGTTTCTTACTTTTTTTGACTTTGGGCACACTTGGAATCTTCGTCCTGGGTTTGCATCAGTCCATGAAGTCACCATCACTACCATCTTTCCACAGTGACAATGAGCACTATGCCTTGCTGATCCGATGTCCATCACTTTCTTCGATTCACCCGACAACCCCAACAACTTCACTTGATGTTGACTTCAATTTGAGCTACGAACACCAAAATTTTAGGGTTATGTGACTTCAATTTTTTTCCTAAATGATTCTAGGGCACTGCCTATTATAATACGGGGATCAATTTGGGGGTAATTTGGTGGAAACCTAAACCATCATTCTAATTTTTGCGGCCTATATACACTTGAGGTGTAAACGAATATCAAATGAAAAATATGCCCAAGCTATGACACCATGTGGCTGCCACCTAAGCAAACTTAATGCATCTCGTTATTAAATTGACAGATTAGGGTAATGCTGGACACGAAAGGTGAGCCCAGGGGACATAATGACCCAATTTGAATTGCAGTGGGTAAAGTGTGATTTTCGGTAAAGCACAAGGGGCATATTGATAATTAAGCCATTTATTTATTTAATTTGCTTGAAGTGACCCCTCTTTTAAGGGCAGCAGTCTAGTTGCCTCTTGGCTACTATTGGATTACTTTATTCTTGTAGCGGCACGACTGCATAAGATGTGCTCTCTTCTTCTTCTTTTTTATTTTTATTATTTTTTATTTTAATAAGAATTTTAGCATGTATGGCATGACTGCAATGAGCAAGGGAGATGTCGATCAGGTCAAGTTTGCATGAACTGCGTGTAGTACCTTCTTCTTCCTTAATTTTCCCTTTTTTGGCAGCTGCTAGTTTTATGAGATTGCGCTTCCTTTGAATAGTTTTGCATAGTCACATGTAGTTTTCTTGATTACTTATAGCATGTAGTTGCACGAGTTTGAATAATAACCATGATAGAATTGACAATGAGTTTGAATACTCACTTCGCTCATCCCTTTTTTTAAAGGTATGGTTCCTTATTCCTTGGATAAGCCCCAGAAGGTTGATATTTTTTTGCTAGAGTTGCATGATGGCTTTGGGACCATTTGGTCTTGCTAGCATAAACATGGCTTGGGGTTGTAATTCAAAATGTAGACTGTGGATTTTGCATAGACTTTGATAAGGTTTATGGCTTTGGAATTATTATAATGACTTGGAAAATTGACTTTTTTGAAAATGGCTAGGTATGCAGATCATTATTTGAGGGTTGCTTGGGCCAATGTAAATAAAAGAGAAAAGTCATTTGCTTGGCATGGATTTGATGGGTACGCAAGAAGCCCCATTGTGGCTTGCACTTGGCAGGAGCCCCCTAAGTGTACTGGCTACATGATATGGATAGATAATCCAACAACACTTGGAAGTTAGCATGGGTAGAATGTATGAGCTTGAGCTCTAAAAAGGAAAGTGATGATATGCACTTGTAGACAACATGTCACAATAGATGTTGGATTGGTAATATGTTGTTTTCATGAATTGTGCATGGACTTGGAGGGATAGCCACTAGAAAGATTATGTAGGATGAAAAGAACATGAAAAATTCAGTCTTTGAGATAATGAAGAATCCAAATTTTTTTTTTCTTTCGTTCTTGGTTTTGTTGAAGGACTCAAGTAGTCCTAAGAAGTATATGGTAAATGTACAACTATTTATTTGCTTGCACTGATGATCATAACGAGAGTAATTTGCAGCTTGCTTCGATGAGAGCTTCAGCTTGGCTCAACATGCTTTGCTTGTTTCCTGCGGCAACTTGTTATTCAAAATATGCATATAACCTTCACCATAGCCTATTGTGAAATGATTTTGCCTATGCTCCAAATGTTAGAGCTGCATGTATAAATAAAACTATGAAAAATATTCATCGCCAACAAAAACATAAGACTTTTCTTGCTTGCACCAAGTAAAAGACAACTTTTGAAGAGGAGCCCCCTTGTAATTTAAACAAGCAATGGTTATGTGCTATTGAGATCTCTTCTGGCGTTTGACTCTGGGCAAAGCTTGATTGGCCTCATCTCTTGCAACGGGATCTTCTAGCAATATATCAAAACCAAATTGATTGCAAATATTCCATAAGAAGGCAAAACAACATAAAAGATGTTAGAAACCATTATTGACTCAATAATAAATAGCCAACACAACATTGAAACATGGAGCTTCTTATCTTTTAGTTTTCATGATGGTTTACTGCACCAACAAAAGTATTGCACCGTAGAACTTATCAATATGAGAGAACCATCGAATCACAGCTTAGTCCCCAATGAAGTCGCCATTTATGTAGGGGTCTTTTTGTTGAGAGTTGGAATGGGCTTGTAGACTGAGCTCTCTTTCACCCCTGTTTGAGTTTGTGGCACCGGGCCCCAAAACACCCCTAAAAAGTTGAAGCCTTATGGAATGCTTTGGTATTCTTCAATGGCTCTTCAGTACATTGCAAGTTTTGATGAGAAGGATACAACAGCTGACATTGCTTGATGATAGAGTTAAGCAGGCACTGAAAGGGCTTTGCTTGAAACACAGTGGAACAGGTGTGTTAGACTTTAAGATCAAACAAGCTATAAGTACTAACCTTGAGAAGCCATGAGAACTGGACAGAAAAAATCTTGAGCAGCAAGCAGAGGTCTTCCAATCATTCTACACACCTTATGCACTCCTAATATGGGGTAGGATTTGTATGCTTGAATGTGTATAAGATCGGGGACCTAAACCTTGTTTTTATAGGTGATTTGACCTAGGTTTCTTGCCCATAAAAGATTACCTAAATCATGCCTTAATCACCTATAGAATCCATGACAGAATAGGATAGATATCTCCTTTTATTTCATTCCTTCTTCACCTCCAAGTATCCGGCTAATAAAACAAAAAACTTTCCACTTTTATTCCTTAACAGATGTTGTGCCTTAAGTAGATGCAAACTCAATTAGGGTCTTACATTCTCTCACTTGAGTGCAACATCTATTTAAAACACTTCCTTACTGCCTCAGAATCGGTTCCTTATGTGCACAGTTTAGAAAGCTCATTTGATAAGGATATCTATATCAAACTCTGTGTCAAATTTCATCAACTCATAGGAAAGCTCATTTGATAAGGATATCTATATAAAAGGCCACTCCTCCTTCACATTTGAAAAAACCACAATACACCATCAGAATATCACATATCACAATCACCACCACAAACTAATTCTCTCCTTTTCTACCTTTATATATATTCTCTACTTTATATTATTATTTTGGCAATGGTTTTGTGACTTGGATACCTATATTCGTCTATGAACGTGCTCATAGCGTATCTTGAGTTTGTGTACAAGGGGTCGTATCTTAGAGGCTTGTAGACCGTCAGTATATGCACGTAGGGAGGCTACAAAGGCTTTAGGACAACGTCTTTGACGTGCTTCACCGTACCAAACTCACTTTCTTACTTATTATTTATTTTGCTTTTACTTACCTATTATTTTGTTTTCTTAAATTTCATTGTACCTTAAAAGCTTTCGAATTTGCTTATAAGTTATTTATAATATAAATGTTTTTTGTATTTGGCTTTATGGAAAAGGAAAACTATATTTTTTTTATAACAACCTAAAGCCTTTGTACGTTACAGTTGTTTTCTTCCCGTATTGCTATTGCTTTAATATCTTTAACTCTTTGACTGAAGCTTTTGCATTTGTATTGGATTTTCAAATTGAAAATTACGATTTGTTTTGGTTAGATGCAGCTTAAAGTTTTCATTTTGTCTATTCAATTTCAATTGCTTTAAATATTGTTGGTACATTTATATTTTATAATTTTGTTGCTAACATTTGGGAAATTACTGCTATAGTGTTTGAAAATAAAAAACCTACAGACTAATTTATGCGGTACTATTATTATAGCTCAACGTTTTGGAGTTCAGGCAGCTATAAACCATTAGGGATATAATCAAAATTAGTTATCTTTAGTTAAATACGAAAACAAGTAGAAAATGTTTTGTGTAGAGAAGAGCTCCATAAATTCTACAAATAGAAGGTTTTGTGTATGGAATTAAAACTGTTTTACTTTTGGTTTTGGTTTCTTTCGGTCATTATCTTAAAATTTTATATCTACAACTCTTTATGTATTAATATTGTAATTGCTATAAATTTACTTCAATGTCATTGGTGCTCACTTATTGGGTTATTTTGAAATATTTACTTTGGCGTCAGTTTTGGTTTTTTATTTGACCAAATTTTTTGTCCTCAATCGGTGTATTGATTTTGTCAATTAATATTTTGATGATATTATAGATTTTTGTGTTTCAAAAATAGGTAGAAAGAAAGGTTTATGAGATTTTATTGCTATTGAAATGTTTTAAAATTAATTTTGGAGGAACCAACAATTGTAAAAGCCTTAACTAGTTGGCTAATTGATTTTTTTATTTTTTTATTTTTTTATTTTTTATTTTTTATGCAGCCTTAGTTTCAAAACTTCAATGTCAATTTCATGAAGATTACAGCTTTTATTTTTAGTAATAAAGTTGTTAATAATGTTGGGTGATTATTGCCGTTAAGATGACCAACTTTATGAAATTTAATTGCATTTTTTTTGTGTGTGTTACTGTTAAGCTTGGCATGAGTTTTTCTTTAACTTGCAAAAGAAGAAGGGGAAAAAAACAAAAGGAAAAAGAAATTTTTATGATTTGATTATATAGTCTTCCTACAATTTTGAAGTCAAGAGCTTTGCGTTAGTTTTGCTTTATTAATTTTTGGAAAAACTGCAGATTAATTTAAATTCTTTTGATATGATTTAATCTTCAATTTGTATTCATATTTGCCATTAAATCATGCTGTTAACGTTGGTATTTTATTGCTTTCAATGTTGAATTCTTTTGCATTATTTTTGTGTGATTTAATAGATTTGGTTTAATGCTTTATTCCGATTGACAACTAGTCTATGTTGTGAATTTTTTCTTCTCTCAAGAGGTTTACATGCGCATATTTGCTTTAAGGATTTAAATTTGAAGGGAAAAATTAGTGCTACTTGGTTGCACTTTATAATGCTATATATTATCACTCTAACCATATATGACCAATTAAATTTTAAATAATTATGCTATTTTAAGCTCACTAATTTGTTACATTTGGAATTTGGGATCTATATT